TTACACTGCTGTGACAGAGTCCCTGACTGAGCGTCAAGAGCCTGAGACTCGTGCTTCCACTCCTAAGCGTCGAGAGCCTGAGACTAGAGCTTCCGTTCCTGCCCGTGTTCGTCGTGTGCGTCATCCTCGTGCTTCGGCTGTCCCAGGCACTCACGATATGACACTCCGTCCTACCTCTGTTCCGCAGCGTGTTGTCCTACCGTCACCTCCTGCGTCTTCTCTTCCTGGCGTTGCTGACCCTCCGTCTGACCTTGCTTGTGCTTCCAGTCCGACTGTCACTCTCTTTCTTGCTACAGTTGTGACGGACCCTACGTTCTCGTCTCCTGCTGCGTCTGCCTTAGTCGCTGAGCAAGTCGACTTTGCTGCTGCGTACCGCCTAGACTACCTTGCGAGTCTTGTTTCTGACCCTGACCCTGCCTGTCCTCAGTCCGTTGGGGGTGAGGTTGCCCTTGGCTGTGACAATCTTGAGGACAGGCAGGAGGAGCTGGAGTGCCTTGCGGCCGCTGCACCTCATCTCGCTACCATGGTGCTTTCCCCGGAGGGAGACCTGGATGCACTTGACATCCCCACCCCGCGCTCTTACAGAGAGGCGATCACGGGTGAGTACTCCTCTCAGTGGCAGACAGCCATGGACGCAGAGATGGCTTCCTGGAAGTCCACAGGCACCTACGTCGACGAGGTTCCCCCACCTGGGGCGAACACCGTCAGTGGCATGTGGATTTTCAGGGTGAAGCGGCCGCCGGGTTCTCCGCCTGCCTTCAAGGCACGTTACGTTGCTCGAGGCTTCAGTGAGCGTGAGGAGGTCGACATCTTTCATACCTTCTCCCCCACCCCGAAGATGACCACTCTTCGGGTGTTGCTAGACGTTGCAGCTCAGCGTGACTACGAGCTGCACTCCCTCGACTTCTCGACAGCTTTCTTGCAGGATAGCCTTCACGAGGCCATCTGGCTGCGCCGTCCAGAGGGCTTGACTGGGTCGTTTCCTGAGGGTACCCAGTGGAGCCTACGGCGACCAGTCTACGGCCTGCGTCAGGCACCCCGCGAGTGGCACGACACTCTGACGACGACACTTGCGGCTCTTGTGTTTGCTCCTTCGACTGCTGACCCGTCGCTGTTTCTACGCACCGACACTACCCTGCTGCCGTTTTACGTTCTCGTGTACGTCAACGACTTGGTTTTTGCTACTGCTGACACATAGGCGCTGACCCTAGTGAAGGCGGAGCTGCAGGAGAGACACACATGCACTGACCTGGGTGAGCTGCGGAGCTATCTTGGCTTGCAGATCACCCGGGACAGAGCACGGTGCACCATCACCCTGACTTAGTCAGGCATGGTGCACCAGGTCCTTCAGCACTTCGGCTTCAAGTACTCCTCACCAGATCCCACTCCTCTGTCTACCGGTCACTCGCTCTCAGCTCCAGCTTCGGACGAGTCCGTAGAGCCGAGTGGTCCGTACCCAGAGCTTGTGGGTTGCCTCATGTACCTGATGACGTGCACACGACCTGACCTCGCGTACCCTCTCAGCCTCTTGGCTCGCTAATTGGCACCCGGTATACACCGAAAGGTGCACTTTGATGCTGCGAAAAGGGTACTGCGTTACTTGTGCAGTACATCGGGCATGGGGCCCGTGCTTGGAGGACGGGGTTCAGTGGTACTCACAGGACACTCTGACGCTTCTTGGGCCGACGACCAGGCGACTCAGCGTTCGTCACAGGGTTACACCTTTAGACTTGGCTCTGGTTCTGTCTCGTGGAGGTCCACTCGTTCTTCTTCTATGCTTGGTTCCAGCTGTGAGGCAGAGATCTACGCTGGGGCCATGGCTGCAAAGGAGCTACGCTGGCTAAGCTACCTGCTGACCGACTTGGGGGAGCGACATCGTTCTCCTCCAGTTTTGTACGTCGACAACAAGGCAATGCTTGCCTTGTGTCGCGAGCAGAGACTGGAGCACAGAACGAAGCACATTGCTCTTCGCTACTTCCTTGCACGTGAGCTGCAGCAGCGTCGTCAGCTCCGCCTTTCCTACGTGGCCTCGCGGGCCAACAATGCTGATGTGTTCACCAAGGCCCTTGGGTCTGGTGATCATCAGCGTTTCTGCACGGCTCTTGGACTTGTGCCTACTCTGCTTCACCTGCTGGTTGCTTGACTTGCTCTGGTATATCTTTATACCTGCATGTTTTCTCTTGCTAGGTTGTAATCAGTGTACTGCCTTGTTCTTATAACTCTGCATGTGAACTAGCCTTGTGGCCGCTTGCTTGTGCTCAGACTGTGTGGTGTCCTTGAGATCCACCCTGAGCTTTGCTTTGCTTGTTCTCTTGCTTGACTGGTCTTGTGACCATCTGATTGTCCCCCACTTAGCCTATGGGGGTGTGTCAAAATACAATTCTACTTGCTAGGCTATAGTGGGTTACTTAGTACGGGGCAAAACCCCAATTAGGGTTAGCCTATACAAACCTGTACTGCCCTGTTTCTAGTCATTTCCTGCACAGTTCATTCTGACACCAATCACACAGCACGCTCGTTGCTACACTCTAACGATCAATCGTGCTGAAGGCCTTTCTGATCTTAACAGTGGAGGCAAGCGGGCGTGGGTGTGTGGAGTCACAAAAAGGGTCGGTCAGTGACACACACATAGCCACACGTACAAGAGTGACTAGAATAACTGCGTGAAGCTTAATAGATGATTTATCCACGAATGCATCGAATGTCTCGGTAATTTTCCAGTGAACATGCAGAAGCTACATTTGCAAAGTTATTTGAAGCATGCAAGTGCCGGAAGATAAAGCAAGCCCGCGAGCGAACGTGTCGGACGTCGCTACATGGAAGAACCCACATGTGACAATCTGACGTCCTCAAACAATTATATAATAGATGTGCATTTGTTTCCAAGGACCATGCTCGAAGTGTTCGTTTTTGTGTATTCATCCAAAACACTGATGGTGATAATACAGCGTTGCGGATTGTACATCAGGGAAACACATTCTCAAACAGGTTCCTCTCAACGCAGGGCGCCGCGCTTTGAGATGAAGGATGTTGTCGAATGGATGATGTCAGTGCGTTTGATTTCCCCTCCACCATTTCCAGTCTGAACTGGACTCAGGTCAGACAGGACGCTTCAGTAGTAGCTTTGCTTAGCAGTGCTTGTCATGACAAACTTGAGAACTTGACAACATATCTCCCGTCTTGCTTTGCTTTTGCGAATCATGGAATCAGAGGGATCGGACAAGGAGCCATGCATTGAGCATGGCTCGCGAACTTCCAGCATAGACTCGGAATCCAGCCTGTTGTTGGCTGGTTCCTCTACTGATGGAGACTCAGTATCCAGATCATCCCTTGGGGAGAAGGAGGAGCTTTGCTTAGCGGGAGATGTCACATGGAGGGAATATTGGAGATTTTCTCTAGTCATGGGGTGTGCGGATATTCTAGTTGACGTGGATAAGTACTTCATTTACTTTCTCCTCATTCAGCGTGTTGGTTGCGATTTTGAAGCGTCGTACGGAGCATTGTATCTTGTCTATACAGTGGCGTACCTCTTGTGGTCTCCGTTGACAGGCTTCATTTCCGACCACTTTCAGAACCACATCATATATGTCATGATCCTTTGTTCATCCGCGCTGCTCCTCGTCTACATCTCCTTACTCACTATCACGTTTAGCGATGTCCAGCTCATCGTGGTATACTCATTGAGGTGCATTGTACAGATGCAGTTGTCAAGTTCAAGTTGGAAAGCTATCAAGGTGAGTCTTGATTCATGGTTTCTGCCGTATTGTATGTTTCTTACTGACAGCAACATATTCCCATCGCAGATGTTTGTCCAACTCAAGTTTGGATCCAACGTCTTGTTGCATGAAGAAGCCATGAACAAAATTGGTACACTGGGAGATCTAGCCTCTGAGGTCTACGAGATTGCGCTGATGGGGCTGGCGCTTCTGTCTGCCATGTGGAAAGGGGATTACGTTACCGTTCGTTGGCTGATGGACGTCGGAGTTCTCTTGACATGTTCCTTGATGCTGCTTCCCAGCATTTCTTTGAGCACGTCGTATGGTGGATCACCATACAGAATCTCCGCAGAGCAGGAGTGCAATCCAGCGACGAAAGACGATCATGAATTGGATACAAAGGGGTGCTTGAAGGAAAAAACAAACGGCATGACATCTTTGAATGGTCTCCTGGAGTTCTTCACATACCGGGTGCGGTACTTCTGGGGAAGCGTGATACTTACAAACTGCGTCTGCCTCTCCATGGTGTCTAGCTGCTTCGAGTACATGTTCGACGGTCCGATTACATTGACAAGAGCTGCTCTATCTACCACCAAGCATGGGCTATGTGGTGGCGCTGTCGACTTCATTCTATTGCAAGGATTGATCTTGCAGTTCCTCTACTTGGTGGGCGGAGTTGCATATTTCACATTTATCATGAAGCTCCACCCTTCACATTACTACGGCAAGATATTTCCAGGAATGAGCGTCGCCTTCATGATTGCATGCGGACTTCAGTTTGTCGCAATGCCTGAAATGGTGGCTGCTGTGACGATTTCGACCGTCACAGTGCTGTCATACTACATGTCAATCTACAACTCCTACATGCTTTCTGGGGCGTCTAGAGCAGAACTCTTTGGCTTCGTGCAGGCAGTATACTCCGCAGCTGTTGGGCTAGCTGGTTTCCTTCCATCTGTGCTGCAGCTCATAAAAGCAAGCCAAGGGACTCTCATGGCTGTTGCTCTAGTCATGGCCACTTGGGGATTGCTTCAGTCATTGTATCTCTGGAAACGGAACTTCTCAGACCATGGACGGGTGAAGGCACTTAGGGAGTAGGCAAATCTCAGATAGACTTCATCATCCAGGGTACTGGGCTGAGTGAGGTGTGTAAACGGGGTAATAATAGTGGTCTGTGAACCCATGTCAGTAAATGAATGTATAATCATGAGCATAGACCATGTTCAAGCAATGTACCATAGCAAAATTCCAGACTCCCTTCACCCAAATGTTCTACAAAATCAGGAATCACTACCACCATCGAAACAACAATAACGCGGAACCAGGAATTAGAATGTTGAGGTATCCACCCACATGCCACCATTGCCTTGCTCATTTGCATTCCCAGCCCCAGATTGTGGTTCAAGGCTGGCCAAGAGATGCTGAGTCATAGCCACAGCAGAAGCCCCCTCGAGTGGCTGTTGTTGCTGCTGCTGCAGCAGCTGCTGCCGCCGCTGCTGCTGCTGATGCTGTTGTTGCTGCTGCTGGAGCTGTACCAGTTTCTGCTGGTTAAGGTGATGGATTTGTTGTTGCTGCTGTTGCAGCAGCTTCTGATGCTGAATTTGCTGGTTTTGCTGCAGCAGGTGCTGCTGTTGATGCTGCTTCTGCTGCTGGCTAAGCTGGAGCAACTGCTGCCGCAAATGAAGGTGCTGTTGCTGCTGATGGTGTTGCTCTTGCTGTTGCAGCTGCTGCTGTCGCTGTTGCTGCTGCAAGACCCCAACTGGTGTGTGTGCGGTAAGCTGAGCAGTTCGATTCTGAAAAGGAGCAGGGAGACGGAGTGGAGCTCAAAGGCAGCATGAAAAAACTGAACAAGTGTAGTTTTTTTTGAAAATCGAGAGTTTAGGGTCGCTGACTGCATTAAACAGACTCACCTCTACAGCAGAATTGGTCAAGGCTCCTGCTACATGCATGCCCCCTCCCCGCTGCTCAGCTGCAAATTGAGACGCAACAGCAGCAACAGTAGCAGAAGATAGTTGTGCATGCGTCCCACCAACACCATGTTTTCCCTCTAGCAACGGAGACAGCGCTGCACTCGTGCTTCCTGCAATCGCTGCTGCTGCTGCAAACGCGGCTGCTGGAGGAGCGTCACTTGCACCGGCAGTTGCAGCCTGCTGCTGTCGCTGCTGTCGCTGCTGTTGCTGCTGCTGCTGCTGCTGCTGCTGCTGCTGCTGCTGCTGCTGCTGCTGCTGCTGCTGCCGCTGCTCCATATGCATCAACAGCATTGCCTTAAGGTCAGCATGTGTGGACTCCCTCTCCACCTGCTCTTGCTCCTGCTGCTGCTGTTTCTTCTGCTGCTGCACAATCTGCTGCATGAGAGCCATTCTAAGCTGTGCCTGCCCTCCTGTTACTCCCATGTCTGCCTGCTCGCAACCTTTCTGCTGCCCCATGCCCATGTACAGTGCCATTGCCGTCCCTGCACCCACATCGGCCAGCTTGGCTCCTGATGCTGCTGTCAGTCTCGCTCGAATCTTCGCTTCTAAATGCTGCTGAAGGGCCAAAGAGTGTGGTGTACTGGCCCCTGCCATGGCCACTTCCATCCCCACCTTGTCTCTTGCACTCGCACTCCCAAGCTGTGCCTGCAGCTGCTGCTGCAGCTGTTGTTGCCGCTGTTCCTGTTGCTGCTGTTGCTGCTCCTGTTGCAGCTGCTGTTGCTTGTGCTGCAGTAACAATGCAAACGTGGAGCCAGGAACACTACTCAACCCATGCCTTCCCCCCCCTCGTCCCGCCATCAGCTCTGCCAGCTCAGCAGCAGGCAGTGATGCCAGATCAGCACCAGCACCAGCACCAGCGCCAGTGCCAGCTACCCCCTCCCTGCTGCCACTGCGGCTGCCACTGCCTGGCCCCCTAGCACCCCCTCCTCCTCCAGCAGCAGCAGCTGTAGCAGCGGCAGCAGCCAGTTGAACAGCCACATTCATCTCATACCAGTCTCCACTCTCCCCTGCTCCCGTCTGCCCTCCTGCCTGTTGCCTCCCCTGGTTACCCCCCACTCCCTCTCGCACACACCCACCCACATTCGCCCCCACCCTGTCGGCATTATAAAACCGGCCCAGTTCCGGTCTCTGAGAGAGCAGCAGCTGCAGGGCTTGATGGCGCTCAGAGGAATTATTAAGGGAGGGCGAGGAGGAGGAGGATGAGGAGTGGGAGGCGGCGGGGGCGGAGGGTACGCCTGGTGGGGGGGTGAGAAGTCCCCTTGGGGATATCGGGACGTTGGGGATGGTTGCAGCAGATGCACTAGCGTGGAAGGGCCTACAAGCTGCTGCTGCTGCTGCTGCTGCTGCTGCTGCTGCTGCTGCTGTTTCTCTCGATGCACCTGGTGTTACAGGAGAGTAGGAGGCTGCAATGGGGATAGACGAACAGGAGGAGGGAGGAGTGAGAGACGACGCGTAGGGGTGGGGGAGCGGGGAGGTGGCGGAGGAGGAGGAGCTGAAGAGGTGGAGGGGGAGGGGTTCGGACATGGAGCGAGAGAGAGGCGGGTGCATGTGTGAGAGGGAAGGGAGGCCATGCCCTGGCATGCCACTCCTCCCGCTGCCAACAGCAGTGCCACATGCCCCTGCTGCTGCTCCCCTGCCCCCTGCTGCAGCTGCAGCGGCTGCCATTGACGCAGCAGAGACAGAGGGAGGGAGAGACGGCCTCTGGGCGTAAGCAACCCCTGACGCCCCTGCTGAGGCAGCGGCAGTGGCAGCGGCAGCGGCGGCGCCAGGGGAGGTCTCAGATGCGTTTTGGGCGTTTTGATTGTTCTGAGTGGAACCCCAGCGGGCCTTCTTGGACGAAGAGACGGGCGCTATGGATCCTGCTCCCTGGGTTAGGGTCATCAGTGACTGCCACCTGGCGACGTCTGATTTGCTGTTGCTGTTGCTGCTGTTGCTGACAGCAGTGTTGCTGCTACCAGCGTGCTGCATCAAGCCATCCATCACAGTATCCATCGCCGCGCTTTGTGAGGCTTTGACCTCAGCAACCCGCATCTCCTGCCCCTGCTGCCCCCCCTGCTGCTGTTTCGCCTGCTGCTGTTGAAAGTCCCGTTGCTGCTGCAGCAGCAGCTGCCGCAGAATCATCTGCTGGTGACTCAACCCTTGGTCCCTCTCCTGTAGCAGCAGCTGTAGCTCCTCCCAGCTCCCCCTCCTTTCATCACCACCCACCATCCCTCGACCACCAGAAACCCATGCCTTCCTACCATCAACCCCTGCCCCACTACCAGCACCAACGAAAGCAGCAGCAGTAGTAGCAGTAGCACCTTCCATGCCGCTAACCCGTCCGCCTGCCCCAGCCATCCCCGAAAGCCCGAACAGCGCACCCCCACCGTCCATCGCCCCTACGCTCACATCATCTGACGTCTCGCCTCCTGTCCACGTGGCACATCTCTTCCTTAAAATCCGGCCGTCCCGCTGCCTCCATCCTGTGCCGCCCTGTCCAGCTGGCAGTATCACCGCTGCTCCTCCTCCTCCTGATTCCGCAGTGCGAGCAGAACCCATTCGCGAAAAAGGCACACCAGTAACACCGGCCCGGTTACCACTGCCACCAGCAGCTCCCCCCCCTCCCATCCCTTCTCCCCCCCACCCTCCCCCACCGCCGCCACCGCCGCCACCGCCGCCACCGCCGCCACTGCCGGTCACGCTGCCGCCAAGAGCCACGCCCTGAGGCGTGAGCACGAGAGTGGAGACAAGCGAGCCCGACCCGCCCAGCTGCCAGCTGGCGTGTCGCGTGTGGCGGCCAGCTGTAAGCCCACCACCAACAGTAGCGGCAGGTCTGGCGCGGCTGCGGTTACCACCCCCACCTGCCCCTGCGCCCGCCCCTTCCCCTGCCCCTCCCCCTGCCCCTGCGCCTGCACCTGCCCCACCCGCCCAGCCTTCCTCGACCATACCCAAGCCTGCTCCAGCCGTCCTACTGCCACTGCCGCTACCACCGCTCGCGAGGCCGGGCGCGCCAGCCATGCGCGCGGCAATGGCTTCCGCCGCACTCGCCATGGCCACTGCACCGCTCCCCCCCGAACACATCTCCGACGCTGCACCTGCAGGGACCGCCGTCGCCGCCGCCGCCGCAGCTGCAGCAACTGTTCCGCCGCCACCGCCCGCTAGCCCTGCACCTGCACCTGCACCTGCTGCTGCTGCTGCTGCTGCAACTGCTACCGCTGCTACATCCGATCTACTGCCCCCCCCTTGAATCCGTGCCCTTGTTCCGATTCCTACCAACGGCGCCGGCACAGGCCTTCTTCCCATCTGCTCTTGCTGCTGCCCCTGCTGCGCCTGCTGCGCCTGCGCCTGCGCCTGCCGCTGCCACTGCGCCTGCCCTAACTGCTGTTGCAGCTGCTGCTCCCATTGCTCCTGCACCTGCTGCTCTCCCCCATCCGCCGCTGCTACCGCTCCCCCTGACCCCATGGGCCCTCCGCCGCTCACCATCGCGCTCTCCGCGCTACCCTGCGGCGCACTCCGCGCAGGCCCCCCGCGCGCCTGGCGCGCAGTCGCGCCGGCGCTACGCAGGGGGAACGGCGCTTGCGCGGCTGCAGCTGCCGCGGAGTGCAGCTTTGGCGGAGACGGCGGCGGCAAGCGTGCGGAGGATTTCCGGGGAGAAAGCGCCCCACCCCCGAGGGCAACCCCATGCGATTCCTGCGACATGAGCGACCCCTGCGACGCGTAAGACATGCGCGACGCGTGCGACATGGACACGTCGTGCGGCGCGTCGCGACAGCGACCAGCATCATGGTAACCACCCGATGCAGCAGCCAAGCCTTCGCCAATAACCCTCTCGCCGGGAGGAACATGAGCATCCGCAGGAGGCAACGATTCCGCTTCCGCCTCCGCCTCGACGGGTTGTTGCAGGAAGCTCCAGTGCTGCTGATCCAGCAGCCGCAACAACTCCTCGTCCGGCCCCTCCGAACACCCCCACGACTCCTCACCCCGCTCGCCCTCTCCGCCGCCGCCGCCGCCCCCTCGGCCGCCGCCGCCTGCCTGCGCTCCGCCGGAAGAGTCCTGCGCGGGGCCGCGGACGGAACTGGGAGAACCCTCCGCTGATGCCGCTGCCGCGGATGCAGGCGCGCAGGCAGGCGCAAGGGCAGGCGCAGACGCCGGCACAGGCGGGGGGGGATTTCCGCACGCCTTCTCTCCCGCTGATGCGTCCGCCCCGGTGTTGGTATTCTCCGCTGTTGACGCGGATTCCTGCCTAGAGTAGCTATTAGTAGTGTCCATAGGAGTGGTAGTGTCCGATACGCGATCGTGCCGAGTCGCGTTTCCAGCAGCGCCGCCTTCCGGAGCCGCCGTAGCACGAGAAGGACCAGATTCACGAGAAGCGTTTATAGCTACACCAGAGTTGGGCCTGGCAGAATCACTTGCCGCTTCGCCTGCCGCCGCCGCCGCCGCTGCTGCTGCTGCTGCTTCGTCAGCTTCGGCGGCGGGGGAAGCACCCGTCGCACTGTCGCGATGATCGCCACGGTCGCCACGGTCGCCACGGTCGCTCAAAAACACTGGCGCGTCGTGGCCGCTGACGTCAGCGAGAATGAGTCCGCCCTCCACCAGGCCAGCCTCGTCGTCGTCGCCGCACCGCATGAACATTCCGCACGCGCCACTCCCTCCCCCCTCCCCTCCCCTCCCTCCTCCGCCTTCCCCTCCGCCTCCGTCTCCGTCTCCGCCTCCGCCTCCGCCTTTTTCGCCTTCTCCTTCCCCTCCACCGTCTCCTCCGCCTCCTGCGCCTCCTTCTCCTCCGCCACCGCCGCCGCCGCCGCCACCGCAGTCGAACTCAATGCCATAGTCGCCGAAGCCCCGCTCCGTCGCTCCGCGTCTCGTGACATTCATCCCCTCGTCGATACCGTTTTCAACCGCTCCGAACCCCGTGCCAAGACCTAATTCTCCGTCACCCACTACCCCCCACATACACGCATCCCCGTCGTCGTCGTCGTCGCGCAATTCCCCTGCGACGCGTGCGCGTTCGCTCTGACCGCCGTCGCCCGCCGCGACCCCTCTCCCTGGCATCTCCCCATTCTCCCGCCCCGACTCCACCGCTGGGAGGCAATCACCTACAGCGAGACTGTCTATATCGCGACCGTGTACTAGCTGGCTCTCCGCGGAGGCGCTAGTGAATTCGCCTAGCAGAGGCTTTGCGTCAGATGCAGCGCCGGGTACGCGCGGCGGCGGCGGCGCCGGCGCAGGGGTGTGATCTGTCAGCGGAACAGCAGCATCTGCGGGGGACCATGAGGGAGCTCCGCCCGCTGAGAATGAGAAGGGCGGGTCGTCTAAGAAAAAAAGGCCGATACTGTCGTCTAGCAGCAGCGATCCCGCGCCGCCCGCCGCGGCTGCCGCCGCGTGGCCCCCTGACATGGCTTAGTCCGCACGGGTTACTGGGGTGAAACATGGGTTATATCCACTCCGGATCCTCAACAACAGACATGCTGGGACGAGAGGTAACGGGCTGCGAAAACAGTCCAGTGCCGAGAATTGATCAATGGGCTGCTGTGAAAGAAAATCCTGGGTGAAAATTGGAATTCAAGATAAGCAGCCACCCCGGAATGTGCGGGAATAAGCCTGAAGTTCGTGAGGAGCAGAGGTGACGCGTGGAGCTGCAGACACGCGCGGAGATGGGCATGCGAAGCGAATGGGTACAGTACGTAGGTGAGAGGACGACTAGAAAAACTGTTTTCCCTGCAATGTCCTCCTCTGGACTCTGGTCTCGTCTCTAGTTCCTTCGGCGAATCCGAGGATGGTTGGCTGTGTGGATATTGCAAGGGAGAATTAGGGCATGAAACAGGAAATGTGAATGGACGGAGCTTGGCTAGGCATGGCACAGGACACGTCAGGTGGTGGTGTTTGTGTGGTGGTGATTTGAGTTGAGAACTTGATGTGAGGTCACTTGCTTTTCTTGAGCAACCTGAGCTGAGAAGCGAATTTTCCTCTCCTCCCCTGGTGGCGCTGCTGCTGGTGGACCGTGTGCACGACAGCAACGGCACTGTACAAATCGAAGCACAGAGAAGAGGTCAAGGTCCCTCAGCCCAGTGTTGTCCAGTGCACTCGACAGTGGGTGGCAGTGGGCAGGGTCAAATCTTTTGCAGTTCAAACACCCCCCCTGCCCTACACTCCCCTCCACTCCGCTTCTCGTGATCAATCCCACGGTCCCATCTCTCACGCGGTGTGAGAGATGGTGTTTCAAGGCCGAGTTTCCCTTGCTGTAGGTTTCCCTCCCTCCATTCGCCGCGCGTCACTCGCCTCCTCTCCCTCACTCACACACTCAAACTGTCACACACTCTTTCTCCTCACAGTCTGATCCCCGACACTCATGCATCCGATCTGATCCGAGAACGAGAAAGGACGGGTTACAGAAAGGACGCGAAAGGCAAGCGAACGAAAGGCAATGCTTGATGGTCACTTGCTTTGAGAGGATACCCTACGGGTTCCACATGTCACTAAATGTCTTATCAGAATTATGAAGGGTGGGACAAGTCTGTACCCCCGACTCGTTCCAAGACAGGGGTCATCCAGAATTTACTTCTTATCTGGTTTGATGTGAGAGTGGTGGTTCGAGGTCACGTAGCTCTAAAATCCGGCCATGATCATCCAGCAGTCTCTGTTATATTTGCTAGTAGTTACACACGCAAATCCAACTTCCAGATCATGTTAACACCACTCTGTTTTGTTACAGTCCCGAGGCTTATGTGGTCATTAGCTCTCACTAATTGACGTAGCGACAAAGAAAGGAATGAAAATTACGGCGTTGAGATAGGATTGTTTCAAGCCTCCTTATGTAACAGTTGATGTTCATCAAGGGTCCAATATCCAGCGACATTAACGGACCAAATTTGCTGACCTGGGGACGATTTGTCAATACGGTATAGCCTTGCTGCCCCGCGAAAAAACATACATATCGCATATTTCTATGAAATTAACAACAATGGTAAAACATTCTGAAACGTAAAACGTTTCTGACCGTATCCTTGAAAATCATAAGCTTATACCTTGTAAAACTCTTCAACGCAGAGTAGAAACGTTTGTATGTCTACATGCGGAACGATTTTGGTGACGCTAGCGAAAAATGGGTAATTTGAGAAAAAAAACAAGGACACAACCAGAACCGCAATCGTCCACGCAGCACAGCTTGGGAAGGGATGTCAGTGGAACAGCTGAGAAACAGCATGAATGTACGCAATTTTCAATCACACACTGAAGTCCCGGATTTTTGTTTTCCTGAGTATCGTAGCACCCCACCACTATCCCATACTTTTTAGCCCGCTGTATCACCCCCTTGCTCGATAGTTCTCAGACTCGCGAAATACTGCACCCCGATCTGCGTGCAAAGACTGCTTTCGAATCCCGCACACAACTGCCCGATTTGCCTTCCAAACCCTTGGAGTGGATATATCTCTAACCTCGTTCACCCAGCGAGGAGTTAAAAAAAATGGGGAGGTGGATTAAGATTGACAGCCGGGTGTGAGTACCAACGGGGAATTCCTCCCTGCCTTTACCTTACCCTCCTCGCCTGCCTATCCCTCCATCTGCCCAAAACAAGCCCCAACGAATGACCAAGGGTACTGTATAGCTGCTTGGTGGAGGCGACAAACGGCGCCTCAGGATGGTCAGGGAACACGACAACCTCACCGATGGAGTACACGACAATTTCACACCCCCTACCCTTTTTTCGTAGGTACCCTTTACGTATTTCGGTCTGATGCGACGGATACCCAGAGATTGAGGGACTATTGAAAAAAACCGGAAGGACTCTAGACTCAAACTCGCACTTTGTGTTCCGAGTGAAGGGTTTTGTTGGGTTTGGGGTTCCTTTGACATTCTGATTGCCCCGCAATTCGCGAGAGTGGGTGGGAAACTCGTCCAGATGTATGAAAACGTCGTCAACTACCCTCCGAAAACGAGTGACCGAGGGTATTTACCCAGGGTGAGATTGTACCATATTTATCTCTAGCGATTCGAGGTTCTGTTATGTCACTTTCTCTTAGGGAGCACTTTTCAGTTGTATTTGTTACAGCAATAGTTGGCATTTCGGTTGATAAAGGCTATTCATTGCAAACATTGATAGATCTGCTCAGTGTTTACGATCACTAGCCTTGACAACAAGACCATGCTCAATACGATCACACGGTGAAATGCGGTTTTGTGAGCTTTACAGTTTTACAATCAAATACGGTACAACGAAATAGACCTCAAAAGAGCACAAGAGACATACCACGATCTAGAAACCCCCCTGCTGTACTGTCGCGCTGTCTTATCTCATCGATTCCATGAAATAAGGCAGGTTGCCCTAGAAATGGATGAGTCACGTGCCTCACTAGAGGATTGCACTCTAATCGCCAACATTTCGCTAGACGGTTACATGAGAACGAGATGTGCTTGTTCTGAGATGTGCCTTTCCATCGTAATCTCTAGTTACAAATCTGCACTATCTTAAGCTTGTTATTAAATTTAATATCAGAGGAAACACACGTTCAACAAATTCGTATCAATTCAAAGCTGGAACATCAGGGCTGGAACACCGCAAGATACTTCAGGGCAAGATATAACAAGCCTTAGCCTCCGCCACCGCTGTATGCCTTGCCGAAGAGGATGAGCTGAAGCTGATCATAGCCAGACAGCACACCAGCACCAGCCACAGCACGCAGGATGTTAGCACCAGCACCCTTGAACAGGGACTTAGTGCCCTCCTTCTGAACGATCTGCATCATGGCGTCCATGGAGCTCTTGTACTTGACAGCCTCGCCAGACGTCATCATCATCCGACGTCGGACAGTGTCAATAGGGTACGAGGCGAGGCCAGCACCGATGGTGATACCCCATCCAAGCAGGAAGGAGGCAAAGAAGTTGCCCTGCAATGTAGCAGCAGAAACATGAAAAACTGTTGTCAGTGCTGGGTTGGAAGAAAGGGAGATAAATGCTCTGCGTAACAGGAAACTCAAGCTCCGATCTGTGTGGCACGTACCTCAAGCGGACCGACGAGAAGGACGGGCTTCAACGAGTCGTACATGCCGAAGTACAGACCGCGGTACACAATGATGCCGACGCACGAGATGGAGAAACCGCGGTACAGACCGGCAACACCGTCGGACTTGATGGTCTTGCGGTACACATCGACCAGGCCATTGAACTGCCTGTCGCCACCACCCTTCGAGGACTTGGCATCGTTTGCCAGCCGGGTTCGGGCATAGTCTAGAGAATAGACGAAGGTGAGAGACGCAGCACCAGCCGCTCCACCGGAGGCCAGGTTACCAGCGAACCACTTCCAGTACCCGTCCTTGTCCTTCTTGTAACCAAACAAGCTCTTGAAGTAATCCTTGAAGGCGAAGTTCAGGGCCTGTTTTTAGATAAGCAATGCCACGAGCGTCATTAGAAATGGCTCGTTACGGAGGTGATCAAAGTTAGGTACAACCGAGTTCGATTCTGATAATGTTTATAGGCGATTCGAGTAAGATCAACCGCAAACCCAAATGCAACCACAGATCGGATCAAGCATAGATCTACGGAGTGACAGAAAAAAATGATAACGATCAAACAGATCTAAGGTATTTTGACAACACACCTGGGTGGGGAAGTATCGGAGCACGTTCGCGGTGTTACCACGCCACAAAGCGACGACGCCCTCATCCTTCATCGTCCGGCTGAAGCATTCGCCAATGCCCTTGTAGGGCTCCGAGAGACGACCAGCCTTAAGCATCTCATCTTGATTCTGGATCAGAAGTTTGACACGCTCAATAGGAGCGGCAGCGGTCTTGGACACAGCTGCCGAAACACCACCCATCAGAAAGTCGATCATGAAGCCGCTCACACCCTTGCCCTTGCCCTCCGCGGCAGCGGGGACAAACACGGGAGTAGATCCAGCTCCGGCGAGGCTCATGCTGAAAGCCGGGTTAGAATAACGAGAGGTAGCCGGAACACCGGCTCCGGTGGCGAAGGAGCGATCCCTGGCATAACCCCCGCACTGAGAAGGGGCGAGACGTGACGCCAAAAAGGAATTGGCGGCCACATGGCGGAAAGCCGGGGTAAAGGCCCGGCCTTGCTGCTGCCTTGAAGATTCCATATCTGCGACCCACAAGGGGAGCAGCACTGGGACAGTCACGCCCTGCACAGAGAGAATACCACAACGCCGATCAGCACCCAATCCAGCAAATGCACCGACTCAATAATCAGCAAGCCCTAAGTGTCGTCCCATAAATCTTGAACTCAGATCTGACATGCTTAATGTCAGATCTATTTCCACGGGTGCCATCGCGTAAAATAACTTCACAGATCGAAGCTCGATCAGCAGAGAAAGAAACAGAAAAAGGCTAAGGGATCGGCAAAGAGGCGTACCAAGTAGTGACGAAGTCGGGGAGCTGGGCGAACCACACAGTGCTTGCAGACTGAACCTCGGCAGCAGAAGTTGAGATGAAAAAAGACTTCCAGCCTCAGATGTATGAAGTGAGCGACACCAGTGAACTCTCGAGGTCGCTGTGCCAAGCCTCCCAACCCCTTGCGACCCAACAAACGTGGAGCAAAAACCTCGCTCGTTACAAGAACAGCGCCGCACGAAAAGTGCCGCTCAGATCGGACGATCGTGAAGCACCTTCGACTGTACAAGCCGTTGAGTTGGCGGCTCCCAGGATCTCTGAGTCACCAAACGAAAATCTCGAAGGGTATCAACGGTCAGAATTGCTTGAACGTCCTCATTTTTTGCTTCCACCCAACTTTTAGGGAAAGTGCGATATAAATAGCTTCAATGCACCAACGCTGCAGCTACCTAAATAGTGTGTATGAAAAATAATGGTTCTAGTATACACATCCTCTATAAGAGTGTAATGCGTTACCACCACACATGCGGGCATGCTAGAATAGTGTATCAACAATCCCAATACTCCCCTTCATTTCTGAATGTATGGTATGTGGCCTTTTTTTTAACAACCATACACAGCTCAGTTCTGTTTTTATGGTTGTAACTTCTGACGTGAACTGCTTTGTCAAGAACAGAACTAGGAATGAATGATTGAACTAGGCAGGAGATGAGTACAAGTAGGGGAAACCTAACCCTAAAGTGTTGTACTCACTAATGAGTGACCCTACAGTAGGCTAGAGATACAATTGCAATTGTTAGAATGTGATGTTTGTCTAGCCTGCAGTGGGGTACTCTATAGCGAGTACAACCCAATTAGGGTTTCCTATATGTATCTCAACTGCTGCTAGTGAAAACTCCTCTTTCCTGTTTCTAGCTTGTGCCTGGTATTCCGACATGCTATCAGAGCAGGTCGACCCTCCCGGGTCGATCCTGTGGATGTGCCCACCGTTAGCTTCCGCTGCTGTCCTGCCTATCGCGCGCCTCAGGCACGCGTCGCTTTCTGCCTGCCGCGCGCTCGGGGCGCGCGGCGTTTTTCTTCCCGCCGCGCGCTCGGGGCGCACGGCGGTTTTCTGCCCTGCCCGACGCGCGCCCCGGGAGCGCGCGGCGGTTTCCTGCCCCGTCGACTCGCGCGTCGCCCCCGTCGCCCGCCACCGCGCTCCCGGAGACCCGCGCGTCGCCCCCCGTCGCCCGACGCGGCCCGCGCGACCTGCGCCTGGCCCGCGCGCGGCCCGTACAGCCCGCGCGCGGCCCGTACGGCCTGCGCCAGGCCCGCGCGCGGCTCGTACGGGCTGCGCCAGGCCCGCGTGCGGCCCGGGCAGCCCGCGCGCGGTTCGTACGGCCCGCGCCAGGCCCGTGCGCGGCCCGTCCAGCTGCTGCCCGAGCCGCGCGCCATCCCCCGAGCTGCTGCCCGTGCACCGCCCCCCGCTGCTGCCTGTGTTAGGGTTTGGGGATGGCGAGTGTGGGGGTGGCGAGTATGGGGGTGACGGGTGTGTGCGCCGTCCCCTGCTATTCCTCCTCCTCCGTCTCCCACTGCTGCAGCTGCCACTGAGGGGGGTGGATGTGTTGGAGCCGTCGGAGTGATACGAAGGGGGTGGCGTGTGAGCAGTGCTAGGGGTACAACAGGGAGTGTGTGAAAGGGGTGTGGGACAGTTGGTGGAGGTTGACCGGATGTAGCCGACTTGTCGTCCGCAGCGCCTGAAGTCCAGAGAGCCACGACCCCCTGTGGCCGTGTAGTCCGGGGCTCTGCGCCTGGTAGCCACAGTGTGAGCACTCCTGGTAGTCCAGAGAGCCACGACCCCCTGTGGCCGTGTAGTCCGGGGCTCTGCGCCCGGTAGCCACAGTGTGAGCACTCTTGGGAGCACAGTGAGCCAGCTGCGCCTGTCGCCGTGTAGCCCGGGTTTAGCCTGGTAGCGACAGTGCTGCGCACTCCTGTTGCCCGTGTGTCTGCAGCTTCAGCCGTCGCCTCCCATCTTCTCGCCCCCGCAGTTTCTCCTCCTCCTCACTTGCCCTCTGTGATGGCTTCTAGCTTTGCTTGTATTTGTGAACCTACTGCTCTGCCTGCTTGCTGTGCTGATTATACCCCACTTTGACTATGAGGGTGTGTCAGAATGTGATGTTTGTCTAGCCTGCAGTGGGGTACTCTATAGCGAGTACAACCCAATTAGGGTTTCCTATATGTATCTCAACTGCTGCTAGTGAAAACTCCTCTTTCCTGTTTCTGATTCTTGCCTAGTCTTTCAACAGCAATTTGACACACCCCCATAGGCAAAGTAGGGGATAACAAACACAACAAGCGGTCACAAGACCAGTCTGCAGAAGAGAACACAGCTCAGGGTGGATCACAAGGTCACCACGCATTATGAGCACAAGCAAGTGGCCACAAGGCCAGTTCACATGCAGAGGAATTTAATAGCAAGGCAGTACACTGATCACAACCTAGCAAGAGAAAACATGCAGGTATAAAGATATATAGCAGTGTACAACAAGAGCAAGTCAAGCAACCAGCAGGTGAGGCAGAGTGGGCACAAGCCCAAGAGCAGTGCAGAAACGGTGATGATCACCAGACCCAAGGGCCTTGGTGAAGACATCAGCAGTGTTGGCCCGAGAGGCCACGTAAGCAAGGCGCAGCTGACCACGCTGCTGCAGCTCACGCGCAAGGAAGTAGCGAAGAGCAATGTGCTTCGTTCTGTGCTCCAGTCTCTGCTCGCAACACAAGGCAATCATTGCCTTGTTGTCGAAGTACAGAACTGGAGGAGAACGAGGCCGCTCCCCCAAGTCGGTCAACAGGTAGGTCAGCCAGCGTAGCTCCTGTGCAGCCATGGCCCCAGCGTAGATCTCGGCCTCACAGCTGGAACCAAGCACAGAAGAAGAACGAGTGGACCTCCACGAGACAGAACCAGATCCAAGACTGAAGGTGTAACCCTGTGACGAACGCTGAGTCGTCTGGTCATCGGCCCAAGAAGCATCAGAGTGTCCTGTGAGGACCACCGAACCCCGTCCTCCAAGCACGAGCCCCATGGCCGATGTGCTGCACAAGTAACGCAGTACCCTCTTCGCAGCATCAAAGTGCACCTTTCGGTGTCGACCAGGTGCCACGTAGCGAGCCAGGAGGCTGAGAGGGTACGCGAGGTCAGGTCGTGTGCACGTTATCAGGTACATGAGGCAACCCACAAGCTCTGGGTACGGACCACTCGGCTCTACGGACTCGTCCGAAGCTGGAGCTGAGAGCGAGTGGCCGGTAGACAGAGGAGTGGGCTGTGGTGAGGACCACCAGAAGCCGAAGCGCTGAAGGACCTGGTGCACCATGTGTGACTGAGTCAGGGTGATGGTGCGCCGTGCTCTGTCCCGGGTGATCTGCAGGCCAAGATAGCTCCGCAGCTCACCCATGTCAGTGCAGGTGTGTCTCTCCTGCAGCTCCGCCTTCCCTAGGGCCAGTGCCTCAGTGTTAGCAGTAGCAAAAACCAAGTCGTCGACGTACACGAGGATGTAGAACGGCGGCAGAGTAGTGTCGGTGCGTAGAAACAGCGACGGGTCAGCAGTCGAAGGAGCAAACCCAAGAGCCGCAAGTGTCGTCCTCAGTGTGTCGTGCCACTCGCGGGGCGCCTGACGCAGGCCGTACACTGGTCGCCGTAGGCTCCACTGGGTACCCTCAGGAAACGACCAAGTGAAGCCCTGTGGACGGCGCAACCAGATAACCTCGTGAAGGCTACCCTGCAAGAAAGCTGTCGAGAAGTCGAGGGAGTGCAGCTTGTAGTCACGCTGAGCTGCAACGTGTAGCAACACCCGAAGAGTGGTCATCTTCGGGGTGGGGGAGAAGGTCTGAAAGAAGTCGACCCCCTCACGCTGACTGAAGCCTCGAGCAACGTAACGTGCCTTGAAGGCAGGCGGAGAACCCGGCGGCCGCTTCACCTTGAAAATCCACATGCCACTGACGATGTTCGCCCCAGGTGGGGGAACCTCGTCGACGTAGGTGCCTGTGGACTTCCAGGAAGCCATCTCTGCGTCCATGGCTGTCTGCCACTGAGAGGAGCACTCACCCGAAATCGCCTCCCTGTAGGAGCGCGGGGAAGGGATGCCAAGTGCATCCGGGTCTCCCTCAGGGGCATGCAGCATGGTCGCGGATCACCACCTGTGTTCAAGGCGCGCTATGTGGCGAGAGGCTTCAGTCAGCGAGAGGGGGTGGACTTCTTCCAGACCTTCGCTCCCACCCCGAAGATGAGTACTCTTCGGGTGTTGCTGCATATTGCAGCCCAGCGCGACTACGAGTTGCACTCCTTGGACTTTTCCACCGCGTTCCTTCAGGGGAGCCTGCACGAGCAGATCTGGCTGCGTCGCCCGCCTGGCTTCACTGGCTCTTTCCCACCTGGGACCCAGTGGCAGCTGCGTCGACCAGTCTACGGCCTGCGTCAGGCTCCACGTGAGTGGCACGACACACTTCGCTCAACCCTTGCAGCGCTTGACTTCTTTCCGTCGTCTGCTGACTCGTCACTGTTCGTTCGCCGTGGCTCGACCCCGTTCTTTGTCCT